CCCACACTAGCACAAGCTTTCCGGGATTGCCTGCCTCAACTAAGGTGTGAAACGGACTCTCCCACTAGAGTGCTTCTCATCTTTGAAACCTATGTTAATATCGTGACAGAGAGCACCCCCTATTAATGTTCAACGACAACTTGGAACTTCTCAGGATTGCCACCTGGAACGCAAATGGATTGCGTTCCAAAATTAACGAAGTAAGAGAATTTACTTCTGAGTATAACCTTGATGTTCTTTTGGTCCAGGAAACTAAATTAAGACCTGAGAGACCCCACTGATCGCTAATTATCGATTCTATCGTTTTTGATAGAATCAACCTCAATTCTAATGTGCGCGGAGGCACCTGCATTTATGTGAAAAGTAGCACCAGGCACCATGAACTACCTGCTCAGTGGCTTAATTGCGCTGAGGTAGTCATGATTCAAATTAATCTCAATGATTTCCCCCCTCATCATCGCTTCGACTTACATCGCACCTCACAACCCAGGTGGATACCCGGTGGAGGACATAGACAGGATTCTGAAATCTGGACCTAATGTGATTTTAGCTGGCGACCTGAACGCTTTCCACTCTAGTTGGAATTTTCGGACGTTCAAAACAAAATGGATTCAAATTGAACAAGTATCTGAAATTACAAGAGGATTGAAAGTCGTAGCCCCCCAGACCAACTAGATTTAATATTATTAGTAACCGTGCGGGAAATGTCCTTGATTATGGCATCTTTAAATTTATTCCTTTTAATTGTGAAGTTGAGGTGATTAATGAACTCGATTCTGATCATTTTCTGACTTTATTTAAAAAAAATGTATATGAGTAATACAGAATATTAGAGGTACAATAAGTCAACTTGAGCTGATAAATTGTACATATATTGCAAATCCCGACACAACAAAAATATGAAAGCTGTTTTAAATAATTATGTGCATACTTTAGTCATTATTAAAAAGTAAATTGAATCATTACCTCTAAAATAATAATAAGAATAATAGTCCCTTGGTAGAGAGATTCGGAAACATTCTCTGCACCTGGCCAGACATTCAATCAAGGCACAGTTTACAATAACAGCAATCACACCCATTACTTCCATGGCATCCTAAGCAAACAAAAATATGCTACAAAAACTAACCAATTTAAGGAGTTTATTAAATTTTGAGAGGCTGATTAAAACAATGTTTTTGATTACATTACATGATTTTTGGTTACAATGAACAACATTCAGTTATCTTTTTAATTAAAAGGAAATTCGATTGCTTAGAGCATTTCTTATTTTTGATACTCGCTTTCAGGACGGAGTTGCACCTCCTTAGCCGCGAACAATTAGCCAGGGCTCGAACTTAACTCCCAGGGAGAAATCCAACACTGCATATAGAGACAGCATTCACAATGCACCGGTCGGGCCATTCGGGCTTAGAATGCGAAAAATCTTTGGCCGCGACAGAAGATCGCTCATTAAAAGTTAAGCCGCCGCCGCGCGTCGGAGAGGAGGTGCTTTCGAGAATTTAAAATCGTCTGCTCGGCATCCACCCCCTCCCCTTCCGCATTCTTAATCCCCAAATCCTTAAGGTCATTTCCACCCTCCCTCCCTCCACCCCCAGCTCTGGGCTTTCGATCGGTTGCGTCCGGAACAGTGGGTGTTGCAGTCAGGATTTTGGGACGTTAAATTGTTTCCGCTTCAGAAGTCACTGATAGAGAGGGTGAAATGTGGGATTTTGTAGAATTAATATTTAGTGATATTTAGGGATGTTGTGCGATCTATTAAATATTTTACAAGTATTTAATACAACAGACCCATCATATGTCTGTTGTAGAGTGTTGAAAAGCTAAACAGGTCGATAACAAGTAGCAAGTAAACAAGTAACAGATAGCGGTTTGTGACAGTTTGTATAAGCATTTCTCATTGACAGTAAACATTTCAGACGGGAGTTTTCCGAGAGTTTCTGCTCCCTACGACAAGCAAGTGCATAAACGTTACTCCTGAAATACCCACTATCAGACATCATATTCTCCTATAGAGTAGTAGACTGTTATGAAAAATGGAACTGATATTAGCCGATGTGTAAATTAAGAGCTAAAATGATACAAATAACTAGTAGTAAAACTAAAAATATATATATTAATACATCTACCTGGTAAACTTGCTAGAAAGGTGCAACTACCAGCATAAGACAACATAGCAAATAAGATCATAACTAGCTAGAGCGATGTGAACAAGTTCATGATGGCGCTATAGTCACTGCAGTGCATAAGCATACAAACTTCACATTGTAGAATTTTTTGATGGAGAGGGTGAAATGTGGATTTTGACAATTAATATTTGTAATATTTAGAGATTGTGTGCAATATTTTGTATTTTAATAGAACAGACCGCAATCATATTTCTGTTGTAGATTGCTGAAAAACAAGAAGTCGATAACAAATAACAGTAAACAAGTAACCCGTCAAATGTAGCAAGTAAACAAGTAGCTGATAGTGATTGTGACATAGCAGCAGAGCTAGCAAATTTGCCATCAGACATCACTGTAGGTTGTTAGTAAGGAACTCTCATCGAAAGTCAACATGTCTGGAGTGAGTTCTCCGAGTTTTCACCCTTATAGCAATCAAGTATTATTTATAATTAATTAATAATAATTACATTAATTACAAATATTACTGGATTTGCTAACAAACATTGCCAGTACTTTTAATTGCAAATCATCAGCAGTTCAAAAAGTTGCAAAATATATAATTGTTCATAAAAAATATAAACATTTTTTTTTCTTAGTTATTTATACTCAGTCATCAATCATATTTTTACTCATTAATCATTTATTTCTTAGTCATTTAATCTCAGTCATTAATGATATTTTTAGTCATTAATCGTTTATGTCTTAGTTATTTACGTTGTTGTTTCATATCCCACTTGTCAGACATCTAAACCAAGCCCCACGAAACCGTGTGGTTCTCATAGTTCACGGGGACAGCTTTTGTTGTGATGGAGTGGCATCAGTAGGTTGAAGTATGAATTGGCTCCGTGAAGCTGACCTTTTTTACTGTGTAAGGTTGTAAGCCCTACGCTCAACGCTCTACAGTCATATTAGACCGGAAAATTTTCTCTAAGGCGATTTCGAAAACATTACAAGCATCCATGGCATCGCCGAGGCTCGAACCCGAACTCTGTGGCAGTCCAATCACTTGGCCATTTAGGCCATCATTAATTCTCAGTTATCAGTAATTTATTCTCAGTCATTAATCATTTATTTCTTTTGCCATTTTTTATCAGTCATTAATCACATTTTAGTCATTCATTATTTATTTATTAATAATTAATTTTCAATCCTTAATTACGTTGATAGCCATTAATCATTTATTTCTTAGTCATTATTTCTCAGTCATATTTGTAAACAAGAGAGCAATAAGTTACCTATAGATTTCCCAACAAGTATATGGATTAACCAATAAGACACTTGAAATTCTTCGTACTTCTTTTATTAAAGAAAACTAACGAAAACTTCCACTAATAATGAATCATTCTTTAAAAAATTCGAACACAAACAGCACCTTCTGAACATTCCAAGAATCTCCCACTGTTCCAGTACCTACTTAAGATCGTATCTCCTTAGCCCCGAACAATTAGCCAGGTCTCGAACTTTTACTCCCACAGGGAGAAATCCAACACTGCATTCAGAGCCAGCATTCACAATGCACCGGCTGGGCCATTCAGGTCTAGAATGCGAAAAAATCTTGGCCACGACAGAAGATCGCTAATTAAAAATTAGAAGCCGCCGCCGCCGCATGTGTTGGAGGGAAGTGCTTTTGAATTTAAAATCGTCTGCTCGGCATCTACCCTCCCTTCCGCATTCTTAATCCCGAAATCCTTAAGGTCATTTCCACGCTCCCTCCCTCCATCCCCAACTATGGCTTTCGATCGGTTGTGTCGCGAACAGTGGGTGTTGCAGTCAGGATTTCGTGACGATAAATTGTTTCAGCTTCAAAGTTATTAATGTGGAGAGGATGAAATGTGGGATTTTGAGAATTAATATTTAGTAATGTTTAAGGATGTTGTGGAATGTATTGAATATTTTTTTAAGCATTTTAATACAACAGACCGCAATCATACGCATGTTGTAGAGTGCTGAAAAACATGTAGTCTAGATCTCTCAATACTGGCAAGTTGTGTAAGTATGTCTCATCGGCAGTCAACATGAGTGGCGAGAGTTCTCCACGAGTTTTCACCTTTTACAACAGGCAAGTGTAATGCCAAATGATCTCCTATAATTCTACTATCAGATATCATATTATCCTCTACATATAGTGATGCATGATGGCTGATCTTGGGTATCACAGACTACAGGTTAGTATCCCAGACGTGGCATGAAATTTCGTTATTGGCTCGAAAATCCACACACGTTAAACTGTAGGTCCCAATCAAATTAGCCTAAGGTATGCACAAAATGACCGCAGAGCGACAAACTAAATTACGTCTCTGTGATTAGTAGAGGCTTGGTTTGGTCTGTGTAGTAGTAGTAGACTGTTTGTGATATATGAAAATGGAATTTGTGTTCGCAGATGCATATAGTAAGGGGCTAAATTGATACAATAACTACTAGAATTAATAATTAATTAGTATTTAGCTGTAAACCAGCTAGAAAGACGAAAAAACTAGCTATAAGAATGACAAAACTAGCTAGAGCGACGTGAACAATTTGGTTAATTAAGACGATATGTTGTTGTTGTTTCTTATCCCCACTTGGCTGGCCAAGCTCACGAGCCCATACGTACTCATGATTGAAGGGGAAGGAAGCAGCTTCTGTTGTGATAGAGCACCCGGAAGTAGAAGTCTGACTTTGGCGCCGTGACGCTTTTACAGTCATAGGAGACCGGGACCTAAGGCTTAAAGTGGATTCCGAACCACTACAAACATCCATGGCGCCGCCGGGATTCCTATCTAATACATGTGGAACCCAGCGCCAGAGCGCTAGACACTCGGCCATTCAGGTTCCAAATTTTGTGAATGCCATCGGCACGCGGTGTTCCCAGGTGGTCACCCACCCAAGTACTGACCGCGCCCAATGATGCTTGACTTCGGTGATCTAACGAGAACAGCATATTCAGCATGGTATGGCCGTCAATGCTATGTGCAAAAATTCAAATTACATGGTAGAAGTTTTCTGGGTTATATTCAAACAAATGTGACATTAAAATATTTCCGCTTCGAAGTAGTTGATGGATAGGACAAAACGTGGGATTTTTTGAGGATTAATATTCAGTAATATTTAGGGATGTTGTGAAGTGTATTAAAAATTTTGTAAAGTGTTGTAATACAGGAGACCACAATTATATGCCTGTTGTAAAGCGCTGAAAAATAAGTAGCCTTAACAAGTAACAGATAGCGATTGTCACAGGTTTGTAAGCGTTTCTCATAGTATACAGTAAACAGGGAGGCTGATTGCCGAGAGACTAACGCTCTGGCGCTCGGTACGACATGTTTCGATTCGAATCCCAGCGGTGCCATGGATGTTTGTAATGGTTCAGAATCAAATTAAAGCCATAGGCCCGGTCTCAAAATGACTGTATAGCGGGACAGAGCCCAATCAAACTTCTTCTCACCCATTATCCCCAAATTGTAAAAGGGCAACTCAGATCTAGGCACAGTTATGCGGTGTGATGTAGTAGTAGCCAAGATGTATAGTGGGAGTTCTCCGAGTTCTCCCCCTTACAACATAGAAGTGCAAATATATACTCCTGAAAACACATCCTATCAGACATCATATTCTCCTCTACATGTAACGGTATTATGTATCTGTTTGCGATATATAACAAAAGTATATAAAAAAATTAAAAACCATTCCTATTTTTTTTCACTATATTGCAGAAAGTTCTTTATAAATAATTTTCTTTCGTTTTTAAGTTTATGTGGCAACCTTCATCTATTGGTAGATATATGCAACTAAAAAATTAAAATTAGTTAATTAAATTTAATTACTGAATTAATATTTGAAAAACTATATTAACATCCAGTGTCATCCACTACAAGCTCAAAAATGTATTTGAACTTGAGTGGATGAATAAAAAGTATTTTATGGACGATTGAAAATTTGAACAAGATATATATAAGGAGAGTGAGAGCTAATAGAAGGAATTGAAAAATGGATCTCGTGTTCGAAGATGTATAAAGTGAGTATTACATTACAATATGTAGTAGTACAATTAACTTATTAGTATAAATGTCTGGTGGAAGTTTTCTGAGTTTTGCCCCTTACAAAAATCAAGTGCAAAAGGTACTACTAAAAATTCAGATACTTAATCAGACATTATATTCTCTTCTGCATGTAGTAGACTATTTGTGATATACGAAATTAGAACTCGTGTTCGCATATATATGAAGTAAAAGGATACACTGATATAACAAATAGTAGTACCACTATCATATTTGTATCTAGTTGGTGAACAAGCGGCTAGAAAAGGTGAAAAACTAGCTATAAGAAGGTCAAAACTAGCTAGAATGTTGTGAACAATTTGGTTAATTAAGACGCTGTTGTCACTGCTATGCTCAAACTTTCAAACTACATGGTAGAAGTTTTCTGGGTAATATTCACACAAATGTTACGACGTTAAAATGTTTCTTTTGCGAAGTCATTGATGGAGAGGATGAAATGTGGAAATTTTGAGAATTAATATTTAGTAATATTTAAGGATGTTATGTAGTGTATTAAATATTTTGCAAGTGTTTTAATACCACAGACCGAAAGCATTGTCTAGAATGCCGAAAACAAGTAGCCCAGATAACGATTGTGGCAAGTTGTGAAAGCATATCTCATCATGTCTGGTGGAAGTTCTCCTTAGTTTTCACCCTTACAACCGAAAAGTTAAAAAATGAACACCTAAAATTCCTCCTATCCATGACATCATATTCTCCTCTACGCGTAGTAGACTATTTGAGATATACTAAAACGGAACTCATATTCGCTGATTTATGAAGTAAGGGCTGAACTGATATTACAAATAGTAGTGCAACTACACCTTATTAGTATGAAGCTGATGAACTAGCTATAAAGGTGCAAAAATTAGCTAAAGCAATAACAAAAACTAGCTAGAGCAATGCGAACAATTTGATTTGTGACTAATTCTTCAAAATACAATTTTTGACATCATAAATTTAAAATGTTTCTGTAATAATGCATGTTTCGTGATCCAATACTTCGTTGGTATCCAATCTTGGTATCAACAATTCCTTGATATCAGGTTGGTATCAATCTTGGTATCAACAATCCTTTGGTATCAAGTTTGGTATCCAATCTTGGTATCAACATTCCATTGGTATCAAATCTTGGTATCAAGTTGGTATCCAATATTGGTATCAACAATCCCTTAGTATCAAGTTGGTATCCAATCTTGGTATCAACATTCCATTGGTATCAATCTTGGTATCAAGTTGGTATCAAATCTTGCATAAAGTTGGTATCCATCTTGGTATCAAGTTGGTATCCAATCTTGGTATCAACAATTCACTTGGTATCAACAATCCCTTGGTATTAAGTTGGTATCCAATCTTGGTATACACAATCCCTTGGTATCAAGTTGGTATCCAATCTTGGTTTCAACAATCCCTTGGTATCAAGTTGGTATCCAATCTTCATATCAACATTCCATTGGTATCAAATGTTGGTATCAACATTCCATTTGTATCAAATCTTGGTATCAACAATCCCTTGGTATCAAAAGTTGGTATCCAATCTTGGTTTCAACCTATTGGTATCAAGTTGGTATCTAATATTAGTATCAACAATCCCTTGGTATCAAGTTGGTATCCAATCTTGGTATCCACCTATTGGTATCAAGTTGGTATCTAATATTGGTATCAACAATCCCTTGGTATCAAGTTGGTATCCAATCTTGGTATCAACCTATTGGCATCAAGTTGGTATCAATCTTGGTATCAACCTATTGGTATCAAGTTGGTATCTAATATTTGTATCAACCTCTTGGTATCAAGTTAGTATCCAATATTGGTATCAAATATTGGTATCAAATATTGGTATCAACCTCTTTTTATCAAGTTGGCATCCAATCTTGGTATCAACAATCCAACAAGTCCGTTGTATAATTTTCGAATACGAATACTTAAATTAGGATCTGATAGTCCTTGTATTTGCGGAAGGCATGGCTTTATCCTACATTATTTCAAGGGATGAAGTTTAGTCACTGAAATGGTGAGAATTTCTGTATTTAAGAAAATTCTTCAATTTTGCGCTGTTTATCAGAAGCTGAAAAGAAAGCAGTTGAAAAATGATTTGGTTTAGTTTGTCGCTCTACGGTCATCTTATGCACTCTTTAGTCTAAACAGGCCGGGACTTACAGTTTAAAGTGGATTCCGAACCACTCACAAACATCCATGCCACCGCCGGGATTCGAACCTGAAGTATTGGATACCAAAGGCCAGAACGCTAGCCACTTAGCCACCTGGTCGCTTTTGGAAAAGAAGCACGATAGAAAATTCGCCTCTTATTTGTGGTCCACTGATAATGCGTTCAATTAGCGTGAATGAGGACGTAAAATCGTACCCACTTCTAGCAGAAAACGGAGACTCGATAGTCATTGTGTCATTGCCTCTAAAATGTATCTACTAGACAAACCAAACTATCTGGTGGGAATTTCCCGGGTTTTCACAAATATGACATGCATATGAGGGGCAGTTACTGAAAACATTTCACCCAGAAGTAACATGCATAAGTATAGCATAAATAGATTACCATATCTAAATTTCTTAAAATATTTAAATCTAGCATACATACTTTCATAACATACATAAGTTTGGCATATTGTAACGTTTCGGCTTATTATAGACTTATAGCAGCTTCAAGAAACGGGCCACTTTCAGGTTCATGGGAACACATTAATATTAATTTACAAGCACTATATATATATATACAAATAATGAACACTGAATTATTATAAAAGAAAAGAAAAAAAAAATAAAATTATAAATTTTATTACAAGTGCATGATTAAATCACAAATGCAATTCACTCCAAATTATTAGATTTTCAGTGTTCTCGAGTCTGCGTCGGATTTAATTGTCCGGTTTGCAGCATACCTTAATTGTCACGCGGCGTGATTCACGAAACCACAAGGAGGCTTTGAAAAACAGTCGGAAACTCCGTCTTATTCAGTTAATTTAAAAGTGAAAAAAACACTTTTGGTCAACTCGTTGCAGAACTCTCTCTCTCTTCTTCACTTAAAAACCTTCTTTTAAGTCCATATGTCAAAAAGGGGATGATTTTTAATAATTTTCATTGAAGTCGACACTTTCTCAGCTAATGATATATCACCAATTACAATGGAACAAGTCTTGGTACTGTTCGTACTCAATCTATAGTTGTTTCGACCTGTAAAGGTCGCTCAGACATTCGAAAATTTCCTGAATCTCATTATACATGATACCAAATATCTCCTATCAGATTAGAGTGACAGATTTTTTTCTTTAGTACAAAACACTAATTGTAAGTAATATAACTACCCACAACACTTCTTGTCTGTTGTCAAAGTTGACAGATGGGTTGCTTATATACGTATATAATTATCAAATAACATACATTCCTCTTTTTCTCGGAATGAAATGCCAAAACTCTTCACGGGAGAAATAAATGCTACAGTAACGTGCAAAAGTTTAGCATATTTAGATAAACGTATGCAATTTTCAACGTACAAAATTTTTAACATACATCAATTTTGCATATTGATTACATATTTAAATTTTTGTAATATATTTAAATTAAGCATGCATAATTTCAGCATCCTCTCAATGCTCAACAAATAACATTTAATTTCGTCGTTTTCTGTTTAATTTATTTCATTCATCTTTATTGGTATAATAGGACATAATACCCAAAACTATTGAAAAATGCGAACCGTTATTGAATCTCTTGAAAAATAAACAATTCTGAATCCAAATAAACTTTTGAACATATTTTATATTAAAATTAATTTTTAATTTACTTTAATCGTAATTAACACACGTATTGTATTCCATTCATTCAATGTTATTACTTTCTATTCAACTTTAAAAATAAAAGAAAACATCAAAACATTTCGCATTTTAATGAAATTACTTTTTGTAAATTAAATTTTT